CCCAGGCGGGTCTCGAACCCGCGGGCTCAGGCAATCCACTCACCTCAGCCTCCCAAAGGTGCGCGATTACAGGCTGAGCCACCGAGTCTGGCTATTTATTTTATTTTTTAAATTCCTGTATTTATTTAAAAAGAAAACCAAAAAAACTCCTTCAAGGCTGCCCACTCATAAGGGATGAAGTCTGGATCCAAAACCAGGATCCTGATTCCAGACTCTATGCTCTCGGCCACCACGCATACCTCTTATCGGGAGTCGAGGCAGTGGGGAGCCACTGATGGTTTTTGAGTGAGGGAACGACAGAGCAGAGAGTGTATTGGGAAGATCACTCTGGCCTCAGTGTGAAGGATGGATGAGATGGAGGGACTGGAGGCAGGAAGGCCCATGAGAAGGCTGCTGCCCTGGTTCTTGTGAGAACTCTGGGCTGCCCCAGAGGTGGCATCACAGGAAGAAAGGGACAAGAGGCTTGAGGGAGGAGGAGGCCTTTGGATTGGACCGTGGGCGTAGGGTGGGGACAGAATTGCACGGGAGGAAGAGGAGGACGCTCCCTCTGTGCCCATGTTGCAATATAAGGCCCCTCTGGCCTTTACTCTGCCTTGGCCCGAGCCTAGTGGCCTGATTCTGGTCAGTGTCAACCCCATGTGTCCCCGGAGCTCTTGTGGCCAGTCACAGGGCCAGCCTGGCCTCGTCACCTTTGGTTGGCCACCCTGGCTGGGGTAAGCATGAGATGGGGTAGGGCTGGCTGGTCATCCCAGCTGTTAGATGGGACACACGCCTCTGGCACCGGGGCAGGAGTGCTAGAGGCCTCCTGGCTCTGTTTCCAGTGCACCCTGGAATCTTCGAGCTCTTCTGAGCTTTGGTTTCCTCAACAGTAAGGTGGGAATAAAGGGGCCACTGCCACCTCCCATCGTGGCTGGTAGATACTATGAGGGGTGCGCTGAATTGAGAGGTCAGCTGACTTTCAGAGGTGCTTCCTGGGGGAAGGCAAGGGGCTGGTGCATTCTGTGCACGGAGCACCTTCAGTCTTCACAGCCATCCAAGGGCAGGGGACCAGAATTATCCCCATTTTACAGAAGAGACAACTGAGGCACAGAGGTTAAGCTCTGGGCTCAGGAACTGGAGGTCACTGGAGTCAGAGCCAGGGTTCCATCCCTGGCGGGTCGGCTCCGGGCTGTGCCGAAACCACCATCCAGACGACAATGTGGTGGGTGAGGTGACCATGAGTGACTGTGATCTCAGTCCCCTCCACCTTCTGGCACCAGTCAGGGACACCGCCCCCTCTCTTTACCAGTCCATTTCCTGCCCAGTTCTGCTAGCCCTGACTCCTTTCAGCTAATTGGAAATGAACGCTTTTGCTTCTGTTGAGCAATTCAGCATCTATTAGGCACCGGTTGTGGGCCATGCACTGACTGGATGTGGGGCAATGAGTAATAAAAACACGGTGACACTGAGCTCCCGCCTCCGCCGGGCACGGTGCCCAGCACTTCACACGTATTGACGTGGTGAATCACAAAGCCCTGTGAAATGGGCACTGTTTTGATCCCCGTTTTATAGATGACAAAATGGAGGCGGAGGAGTCGCAGAATTGGGATTAAAACCCAAGTGCCTGGCTCGGTGCTTATACCAGGGTATTGTGGGGAGACACGGGGCAGTGTAGAGATTTACCTGGGTTGTCACAGAGGCCCCCAGGAGAGGACCTCTGACCCCATTTTTTGTTTTTTTGAGTCAGAGTCTCACTATTGCCCAGGCTGGAGTACAGTGGCACGCTCATGGCCACGGCAGCCTCGACCTGCAGGACTCAGGTGATCCTTTCACCTCGGCCTTCCAAGTAGCTGGAACCGCAGGCATGCGCCACCGTGCCTGGCTAATTTTTCTGATTTGTTGTAGAAATGAGGTCTCACCAAGTTGCCCAGACTGGTCTTGAACCCCTGGACTCAGGCAATTCTCTTGCCTCGGCCTCCCAAAGTGCTGGGATTACAGCCTTGAGCCACTGCACCCAGCCTAGACCCCTTTTTTTTAAAGGTGCAAACTGTATTATCTTGGCTTCTTATTCTTTTATTTTTATTTTATGGTCATGGGGTTTGTGTGAGGATTTGTTACATAAATATATTGCATAAAGGCAAGGCTTGGGCTTCTGACCAGCATGGTACCCAATCGGTGGTTTCATATCTCTCTCTTTTTTTTTTGAGTTGGAGTCTCACTCTTGTCACCCAGGCTGAAGTGCAGTGGCATGCTCACGGCCACCGCAGCCTCGACCTGCCGGGCCTAGGCGATTCTTACGCCTCAGCCTTCCGAGTAGCTGGAACTACAGGCGCATTCCACCATGCCTAGCTAGTTTTTTTTTTGTGGTTTATTGTAGAGATGAGATCTCACCAAGTTGCCCAGGCTGGTCTCAAACCCCTGGGCTCAGGCAGTCCTCTCACCTCGGCCTCCCAAAGTGCTGGAATTATAGGGTGAGCCACTGCGCCCAGCCGGTTTCGTATCTCTTATCCCTCCTCCTTCCTTTAACTCTACCCGGTGTCTGTTGTTTCCATCCTTGTGTCCATGTACACCCAGTGTTTAGTGCTCACTTATGAGGGAGAATATGCAGTATTCAGTTTTCTGTTTCGGGGATCGTTCACTTAGAACGATGGTCTCCAGCTGCATCTATGTGATTGCAAAGGACACACTTTCCTTCTTCTTTATGGCCGACCTTGGACCCCAGTTGGAGTGACAGCAGAGGGGTCTCCTGAAGAAGCCGAGGCATTATTCCTGCAAGGCGGGTGTGGAAGAGGAGCCAGGTGCTGCTCTGTGTTGTGGACAGTGATGGGGAGTGAAGGTGTGAGGTGCTGGCAGGGACTTGGCTTGCTGTCCCCAGGCACGGGCCAGTGGGAGCCGATGGAAGCTTTAAGGAGGACCAGCCTTGGCTATGGGAAGACAGCCTGGGTCCATCAGGGACATCAGGCTGCTGTGGGCCAAGTGGAGGGGTCTGCAGGTGGGAGGTTGGCAAAGAGGGCGCCATGGGAGATGGAGGAGGTGACATTGACAGGCCTTGTGGAGGGTGACATGGGAGAGTTGGGCTGTTCTCCGTCACTAGACTGAGCATTCTTTGGGGGTAGGGCCCGTGCCCCAGCGTCTTTGTACCCTGGCACTTAGCACAAAGCCTGGCCCCAAGAACCGGATACCAACCCGGGCTTCCTGTCTTCCCCCGGCGTACTTCTAAAAAGCAACATCACAGGCAGCAGCCAGGAGTGGGATGTGTCACCCCCGGGCCACCTGCCTGTGATGTGGTCGGTCCTTCCTGACACGGATGCTGTTCCTCTCTCTCCGTGACGGCAGGCCTCCGCTGCCTGGTCCTGGTGTCACTCTGATGGCCGGGCCTGCTGAGGTTGCGCCCTGCAGTCCTTGGGGCTCCTGTGAACCCCCCAAGATTGAGACCCAAACGCCTCTGCTGCCCCCCATCACACCCCAGGGGCCCGGGGACCTGCCATGCAAATCATGTGGTTTCTCTATTGTTTGAGGATGTTTTCCACTGTGTGAGGGTCCTTGGGTCCTTGAACAGACACCTTTGCCCTCTTCACAACTGTGGTGTCTGCCCCTGGGTCCCTGAAGACCCTTTGGTCTGGGAGAGTTACTCCCCTCTGTGGGCCCCTTGTCTGTCAAATGAGGGGGCAGGACAGGATCACAGGGTGTATCATTGTCAGGGGGCATGAAGGCAGGGGTAGCTGTGACTGGCTCCTGGTCTGCCATCCGCTGACTGCGTGGCCTCAATTTGCAGTGAATCTTCCGACGCCTCCATTTCTGCATCTGCAAAATGGGGTAATACTAACCTCATTGCATTGGTGCTGGGATAAAAGAATGCATATGAATGTGCCAGCACTGTGTCTACACACAGTAGGTCCTTTTTCTGGATCTGTGCCATCCCTGTCCTTCTAGCTCTGTGTAAAGGGTGTGCTTGAGGGGTCCTCTCCACCCCCAAATCCTGAAACTTCTTCCTGCCCCCCACCCCATGTCACCCTCTCTCCTGGCAGATCCCTGCCCAGGGTGCTCTCAGGGGGCGGCTGGGATTGTGACCCCCTTCCCAAGGCTCTGGCATCTAAGAGGGGCCTCCAGAAAATGAGAAAGCCATGAAGACCCCAAAGGCGATGCCAGAGCAGAGGGCCCCACAGATGCAGTGTCCTCAGATGCCACTGCCTTGACGGTGGCCACTTCCTCCTCCTTTCCCGGGTCGGTCCTTCTTTCCTTCCTCTCTCTCTGTCTATTTATAAATAGGAGAAGGGATTAAGGGCCCCACCTCGGGGTACTTGCAGGGCCTTAGTCTGAGAACGTGACAAGCAACAAAGCAGCTGGCCCGGGTTGCCCAATTTCCCAGAGCCCACAGACACTCCAGAATCAGAGACCTGCCTGGCCCCTGGCCCTACCCCCTGCTAACCATGGCCCCAGCCGAGTGCCTACCTGGGAGTAGTCCCACCCCTGGCCCTGACCACTCACTTGCCTTCTGAGTCATTCAGGGAGAGCATGGGCAGAGGACAGGGGGACAGGAGGAGAGGGCGCAGTGGGCGGGGAAAGGGGGACCTGGCTCGCTAGGTCAGCCTCACAACACCAGGCAGGTCTTGTCTGGCAAGAGTTCTGCCTGGGACAGGCCTCGGAGGCCCACTTCCCTGCAGGGACTGACAGCCACATGGTCCTCTGGCTGGTTGCTGACACACCCTGGCCCCAGACTCTCTATTTTGGGGTCCCATCACCCCTGCAGTGCTCCTCTGAGCAAAGTCCCTTCGAGCTAGCCTGAGGTCCCCATGGGAGGCCCACACCAGCGGCAGGAATCCGCCCCTTCCTTGTCCCACCAAGGCCTCCGCTGTCTGGGCAGTGGCCTCTCCTGGTCACCGGACTTTAGACTTCCTGAGGAACAGGCCTGGTGCCCATCTGTGGGTGGTTCCCCAGCTCCAAGGGTCACGGTCAGCCTCCCCAGACTCGTCCTGGAGGCAGGAGAGAGGCCACCTCTTTGCAAGGCCCACATGGCACGGCTATCTTGGGCCCCACTAAAGCCAGCCAACTGGCTACGCAGGGTCCTGCTCCCTCCTTGCTGGTTCTCAGGTGAAACCAAGGCAGAAAGAGGCCAGGCCTCACATTCCGTAACTCATGTCTGCGATCAGGGCCTTCACACACCCCTTACAACTCCCCCGTGGAGTCCCTGGGAGTCTGGAGAAGATGGTGAAGCCATGTGAAGCCCCTCTGCCTGTACTCCTCCCAGCAGCCCCTTGGGGAGGCAGGGCAAAGTGTGGGACTCCTACTGATAGGTGACAGTGCTGAGGTTGGAGGCAGTAAGTGACAGCCCCAGTTCCCTGGGACCAGCATGTGCCCTGGACCCTCTCACCCATGTCAGTGCCCCTCCTGCAATGTCAAGTGTCCAGCATGCCTGGGAGGGTGAACATCTTGGACCCTTTCCTCCCAGAGGCCACCTGCCCTCCCCTGGGTGAAGGGATGAGGAGCAGAGGCTGGACATGGAGACGCTCACACCCCCCTCGGCCCTGCTCTCCCCAGAGGCCCGGGCCCAGCCCAGCTCTGCCCATACCCCAGCCTCCACCTTTCTAGCTCCTTCCGAGTCTCCATCTCTCATGTGGATGGGCCACAGACTCACCCAGCACCTCTGAGCTCTTAACACCCATCTTTAAGAACCCAGGGCTAGCCCTTTGGCTTAGAACATCAACCAGGCCCTCACTGTCACGTTACAGGCAGGGAAACTGAGGCCCAGAGAAGCCAGCACAGCAGAGGGGGTGCCTGAGTGTGGGGAGGGAGCACATTTGGGGTGGGCCTGGGGGGCTGAAACCCAGTCTTCCTGGACTGGGAAGACAGCTTGATGCCAGGGAGAAAGCACAGGACTAGAGGCCCGGCGACATCTCTGAGGCTTAGTTTCCTCATCTGTAACTTGGGAAGAATAATAGTACCCACCTCGCCGTGACTGGGTGAGGATCCAAAGAGGCTGTGATGGGTCATCCTCACCCTCACTCACGCTGGTCCTGCCACTCTGACCTCCTGGCCAGGCACTGAGCATGCCCAGCCCATGTCCCCGCCACCCCATCCCTGTCCCTGGCTTTGCCTTTTTCCTTAACTCTTGCGACCACCTCGCCTTTTCTACTCGGTGTGTGTCTCCCTGGCTATGATAGCAGCTTTCCTGGAGGGATTTGATTTGTTCCATGCTGAGAACAGCGGGTGCTGTGAAGTGGGCGCAGTCAGACCCACCACGTCAATCACCCGTTAGATTCAAGACCGTTTTCTCTTCCATTTCATCATCCATCCGTCTCCATCCATACATCTGTCTGCCTATCATCTGTCTATTTATCCATCCTATCTCTGTCTATCTCCAACCCCCAACCCCCTGTCTCTCTCTCTCTCTCTCTCTCTCCAGGCTTCCTGTCTGTCTGTTTATCTAACCTGTGTCTATCAGTCATCTGTCTATCCATTCATTCTGTCTATCCCATCTCTCTAATCTATCCATCATATCTATCTTTTATCTGTCTACCTACCCATCCTCTCTCTCTCTCTCTATCATCTCTCTCTCTCTATCCATTCTATCTCTCTATCTCTATCAGATCTGTCAGTCTGTCTATCTAATCTATCTGTCTATACTTTCATCCAGTCTATCTAATCTAGCTATCTAATGTATCTACCCATCCTATCTTATCTATCTAATCTATCATCTTCCCTAATTTCCTCTCCACTGGGTCTCGGATTCCTCACCTATTAAATGGGCAGTTAACCCTTACCAGTGATTTTTCTTTTCTTTTTTTTTTTTTTGAGTTGCTCTCACTGTGTCGCCCAGACTGGAGGGCAGTGACCGCTCCCGGCCACCGCAGCCTCGACCTACTGGGCTCCGGCGATCCTTCTGCCTCAGCCTTCCGAGTAGCCGGAATTACAGGCATGCGCTACCACGCCCGGCTGATTTTTTTGATTTATTGTAGAGATGAGGTCTCGCCTGCCCAGGTGGGTCTCGAACCCGCGGGCTCAGGCAGTCCACTCACCTCAGCCTCCCAAAGGCGCGGGATTACAGGCTGAGCCACCGAGCCCGGCTTCCAGTGATTTTCTAATTGTCACTGGGGCCCCCATAGTTTGGAAGACAGCTGAACATGCTGACTGAATCAAGTACTATCCAATCTATTTCCTCCTTTTAAAATGTTGAAGATATCCCCTGCGGGGTGGGTGGTGTGTGAATTGGAACCTCCCCAGTCAAAGCAAAGGAACTGGAAGCTTCCAGAGGCTGTGCTTCCCAGAGGATGCTAGCCACTTTTAGGGACCCCCCAGGACCCCCTGGGATGACCCGAGGCTTGCCCCCAGGGCTGAGGTCTAGGTCCAGCCCCTGTTCCGTGGAGAACTGCCATGATGAGAGTGACCTTTTGTTCCGCTCTGCCAAGGGGCTTTCTGTTCCTCATTGTTGAGCCATGACAGGGCTGTGGTTTTTTGTTTTTTTCTGTCCAAGAGGATAAACAGGCCTCAGATTGCTCAAGGGAGCACTGACCCCCGGCCAGCCCTGGAGGGCTGGAGTCACACAGAGCAGCAGGAGGAAGTATTGGGAAGGTTATTCAGAGCAAAGCTTCAGACCAGAAAAGAACCTGGCAGGGAAAAGGCGGGAGGCGGTGGGTCAGCTGGCCTGAGGCCCAGCGCCTGCCTTCAGTGGCAGAGCCTGTATCCATGGTGGCGAGAAAACCTGAACTTGACTAATGCAGGACCTTTCCTATTAGCCCCTTTAAGCCCTGACAGGAAATCCTTCCCCAGCCAGGACAGAGTTTCTCTCTTTTGCCTGGACCCCCTCCCTCCCCGGTTCTGTGGTCCTCAGGTCCTGGAGGAGTGAAGAGTCCCTGCTGAGGGCACTCCTGGGGACGAGGCCACGAGGTACAGGATTCCTGTGAGGCCTGTGCCAATCACTGCAGGGCTGGGGGCTGCAAGGAAAGGGGTTCCTGGGGGTGCTGTCTGAGCGAGGAGTCTGCTGCATCTGGGTGCCGCTCAGTTAAGTGGCAGCAGCCTCCAAGAAGGCCAGCTGGGGGTTTGTGGAGGGACAGACAGACCTGCTGCTGCAATTAATATTTGATCAAATGATGGGTGCAGAAGATGCTGCAGAAGGCTCAACTTCGGCCAGGCATGGTGGCTCAAGCCTGTAATCCCAGCACTTTGGAGGCCGAAGCGAGAGGATTGCCCAAGCCCGTGGGTTTGAGACCAGCCTGGGCAACATGGTGAGACCTCGTCTCTACAATAAATTAAAAAATTAGCTGGGTGTGGCAGCATGCACCTGTAGTTCTGGCTACTTGGAAGGCTGAGGCAGAAGGATCGCTGGAGTCCAGCAGGTTGACTGTGACGGGGGTGGCTGTGAACATGCCACTGCACTTCCGCCTGGGTGACTGAGTGAGACTCCAACTCAAAAAAAAAAAAAAAAGAAGACACGACTTCTCTGGTTTGGAGGTTCCCCAACCTTTTGACCCATGGTGTCTGCCATGAGCCTCTTCCCACCTCTCTCCAGGTCACTAGCTCTATCAGGGGGCCAGGTCATCAGGCCGTGTTCAGCGAGGGAGCATTGGCATCAGTGGGAGATTTTTTTTCCTTTATCCTTCCCTTTTTTCTTCCTGGGCCCACCCCTGAGATTCTGCCCCTGTTTGGGGAGTGGTTCTTCATAACAGCCCCCCCAGGTGCTGTCAACACAGGCCGTGAGTGTTCCCCACACTGTGAGAAACTCTGATGAGACTTCTCCTTTTGTCTAGGGTGCCTGGGAGTCTGCTCTAGCGCCAAGCTGGGGACAGAGAAGTACTGGGACTGTGTGCATGTGCATGTCCATGTGCATGTGTGTATGCCTGTGTGCATGTGTGTATGTGTCTGTGTGTGTGCATGTGTGTGCATGCGTGTATGTGTGTGGATGCACGAGCGCACCCATGCACATGCAATTTTACAGTCTAGAAGGAAGCTGAAGCGCCTTTTCTGGACTCTGTTATGTTCCCACTTCCCTTGTTCAGACACCTGCCTCTTTCCCAGCCTTACCAGAGCTGGCCTTCCTGGGGTTTGGCCCTCGGTCTAGGGCAGTAGTGAGGTAGGCCTCGGGGCAAGCCGGGGCAGTGGTGCATCTGAGTTTGGGCCCTGTGGCTGGGACATGACACTATAGCCATCCATGCCCCTCTGGGACATGACATGGTAACCAGCTTGTTTAGATGGCAGCCATAGTGCACCCGCTCCATGCCAGGGCCTCGGGGTCTCCCCCTCCGGTGGGGCCCGGTGAGTAATCCTGCAGCAGCCCTGTGTGCCAGGAATCATGAGAAGAAAGATGGGGGTTCTGGGCCGAGTGACTCACTCAGGTGGTCTGTGGGCAGGGAACCTTTGGGGGAGGTGGCTGTCTGGGGAGGCATCTTAAGGGGTAAGCAGAATTCTGTCAGAGGAAGCTCGAGGCTATTCCAGGCAGAAGAAGCATCTTGGGCAAGGGCATGAGGGCCAGACAGGCACTGATTGCTCCATGACTGGAACTCCCTGCCCCTGTGGGTTCCAGCTTCCAGCTGTTGACACTGAGCTGTGGGCAGCCAGGGCCGGACCACCGCCTGCCAGGCCAAGGCAGAAGACAGCTGGGTTTCCTGGCGGCTTGTCACTGGCTGCAGGGGCCAGCCAAGGGCCCAGCCACCCCTGGCTCCAGGCAGTGCTGTGGTGAGGGGCTGGGGGATGCACACTAAGCCCGCCTCACACCACCTCGGGTGATGGAAATTTGGCCAGGTCTGCGCTGGCCCAGGGGTGTCTGGTGTCATGGCTGGTATCTATTCTGGCTGGCTTGTTCACAGTTGACGTCCAGAGTGACTGGTCAGTACCTGAGTGGTGCTGGCTGTTAAGTATTTTGAATATCTCCCCTGCTCCTTTGTGTCAGATACTGAAGTCCAGAGAAGTTAAGGTACTTGCCCAAGGCCATACAGCGGGTAAATTGCGGGACGAGGATTTGAAGCCGGGTCTTCCTGCTTCCTCTGTCCTTATCCATGGAGAGGCCCCACTGCTTGTGCAGCAAAAATTTGTTGAACTTGTGCTGACTGTGTGATTGCAGCTGGCAGCACAGTGGGCATGAGCCCACCTGACTTGGCTTCCGGCAGTTGCCTGCCAGTCATTTCCAGGCAATGTGTCTTGCGGTCCCCAAGGGACTTTGGGTGTGGGTACATCCTCTTCTTTGCTTGTGTAGACACGTGCACACTCACATTTACCCACATGTGAAGATATCAACTTCAAGTTTGCAGAGGTGGCTATTTAATGCTTGTCCCCAGGCCCAGACTGCCAACCCAGATCTTTCTGGAGGAAGAGCAGGACTCAGGGGTGTGTGGCCCGGGATCCCAGGATGGGCACGGTGGTGAGGTTGTCAGAGACCTGAGGGAGGAGAGCGTTCTCTCTCTCTCTCTCTCTCTCTCTCTCTATCACTTTATTCATATTTTCTTGGAGGCACAGAGCACAGGGGTTAGAATGTGAGCCACAAGGTCAGACCAGTCCTGGATCCAGACCTTCTCTGTCATTTACTGAGTCTGGGACCTTGGGCAAGCAGCCTGCCCTCTTCGAGCCTCAATTTCCCGTTCTGTAAAATGGCTGCAGGTAGGGGACCTTCTTTGCTGGGTTGTTGGGTGGTCTCGCTGAGATCACACACTTGCCGTAAGTGGGGTCTTCCAGAAGCAGAGTCCAAGGTGGCGATTTCCTCCCAGGGGAAGGGGGAGGGCAGCAGGACATGGCAGGGGTAGGGGCCAGCTTCAGCTTACACCATGGGAGGGCTCTGGCTGGTGGTTCTTACCACAGTGGGCCCCACCCTAAGGCCTGGAGATGCCTTCCAGCTGTGGAGCCATTATTGCAACACCTGCATGGGGGGAGGGGTGCCCTGTTGGGGGGAAGAGGTGGCGGGGGTGCCGGGGGAGTCTGAGCGGGGCACAACAGGACCCACCGACTCAAGCAACTGAGACTCAAGCAACTGAAGCGCTTAGAACAGCACCTAAGAGGTGCTCAAAAATATTAACGATTGTCACTGTCATCACCCAGCATTCATGTACTGCGCCCCCCAGGTCTGCGATGGGTCCCGTGTCAGAGGCCAAGGGTCTATCAGTGACAAAGCCACCATCTCTGCCTTCTGCATCACAGACTTGTGTGTGTGTTTGTGTGTGTGTGTGTTTGTGTTTGTGTATTCTCATGTGCGTGGGTATGCATCTGTGTAGGGTAGAAGGACACAGAAGTAACCATTTCAGAACAATGAGGTGATTGTTAGAAGGGGTCACATCCCATGTTTAGAGACAGCCCAGAGGAGGAAGAGCCAAAGTTAGCCTGGGGGAGTCAAGGAGGGCTTCCTGGAGGAGGCAGCACTCAGCTTGAAGAACAAAGGGGCATTTCCCAGGTGCGGGAGGGAAGGGGAGGCATACTAGGCAGAGGGCAGCTTGGCGCTCTGTGACCAAGGCCACTGTCTTCTGGGCAGCTTCTGGGCCAAACATCGGGCTTGTGTAGCACTGAGGAAAGCCTAAGCCCCACCCTTTGGCCTACAGGTTCAGTGACTCTGTCTGCAGACATGAATGGGTTACACTGAGTGGGGAGGGGGAGAAAGCCAAAGAAGGCAAGGCTTCTCCCTTTCCCTTCTCCCCCCAAGGGGAGAAATCCCCGTCGGGACAGCCTGGCTGTTGCAGGCCAGGGCCTGGCATCAGGCGTGGCGGAGGCCCTACTGAGGCTGCCTTCCCTGCTTCCCTCCAGGTGGCATTCAAACCCTACGCCCCGGAGCCTGGGAGCACGTGCCAGCCAAGGGACTACTATGACCAGAAGGTCCAGATGTGCTGCAGCAAGTGTCCACCTGGTGAGGGGCAGCGGCCGGGCCCTGGGGGAGTGTGTGTGGATGGGACTTCGGGGTGGGGGCGGGGCTGTGATTCTCACTGGACTCCTGCCAGTCCCGTGGATCGGCCATGCTCCCTCTGGCTTCTGGGCCTTTGCACATGCTGTTCCTACTTCCCAACTCCCCTCCCTGGATTAACTCCTACTTGTCCTTTAGACCTCAGCTCAAAAGGTCCTTCCTCCAGGAAGCCTGCCCACACTGCCCAGTTGGGTGGCGTGCCTCCTTTGAGCTCCCACTGGCCCTTGGCGGTCTGCTCGCGGCCCTTTTCATGCTGTTGTTATGGCCTGTCCACCCAGATTGGAGTGCAGTGGCACAATCATGACTTACTGCAGCTTCAGCCTCCTGGTCTCAGCCTCCCAAGTAGCTGGGACTGCAGGTGCATGCCACCACAAAGTAGTTTTAATTTTTTTGAAGTTGTAATTTTTTTTTTTGAGTCGGAGTCTCACTCTGTCACCCAGACTGGAGGTGCAGTGGCACACGCCTGGCCACCGCAGCCTTGATCTGCTGGGCTTCGGCGATCCTTCCTCCTCAGCCTTCCAAGTAGCTGGAACTACAGACCTGCGCTACCATGCCCGGCTAATTTTTTTTTTTGATTTATTGTAGAGATGAGGTCTCACCAAGTTGCCCAGGCGGGTCTCGAACCCACAGGCTCAGGCAATCCACTCACCTAGGCCTCTCAAAGCTCTGAGCTACCGAGCCCGGCCTGTAATTTTTTTGAAGAGACAAGGTCTCATTATGTTGCCCAGGCTGGTTTTGAACTTCTGGGCTCAAGCAGTCATCCCGACTTGACCTCCCAAAGTGCTAGGATTATAGGTTTGAGCCACTGCGCCCAGCCCGTTGGTTTATCTTTCCCTTATATTACATTTATAAAGCATCCGCTTGTGTTCTGTGTGCTGGGAGTGCAGCAGGGAGCAGGACAGACATAACTCTTACCCCATGAGGTCTGTGCTCTTTGTTTTTTTTTTTTTTTGAGTTGGAGTCTCACTCTGTCGCCCACACTGGAGTGCAGTGGCCACTCCTGGCCACCGCAGCCTCGACCTGCTGGGCTCCGGCGATCCTTCCGCCTCAGCTTTCCAAGTAGCTGGAACTACAGGCGCGTGCTACCACGCCCGGCTAGTTTTTGATTTATTGTAGAGATGAGGTCTTGCCAAGTTGCCCAGGTGGGTCTTGAACCCACGAGCTCAGGCAGTCCACTCACTCGGCCTCCCAAGGCGCTGGATTATGGGCTGAGCCACCAAGCCAGGAGGTCTGTGTTCTAATGGAGGATGGAGAATAGACCAGTAGATGTGTGGTCCTGTCTGTCAGTCAGTGCTGTGAGAACAAGGCACCATTAGGCAGAGGGAGACAGAGCAGGCAGCCTGTCTTATATGGGGTGGTCTGGGAAGGTCTCTCTGAGGAGGTGATGTTTGGGCAGAGCTGTGAGGAGGTGACAGAGCAAGTCATGACAAAATACAGGGCACAGCATGCCAGGTGGTAGCAACAGCAGGTGCAAAGGCCCCGAGGTGGAGCCTGCTTGGTGAGCCAAAGGAATTGTAGGGCCAGTGCATGTGGCCCGGTGTGAGTGGGGGTGAATGTGGCAGGAGACGAGGGAGCGGGGAGCAGGGCCCATGGGAAGGAGTTTCAATTTTATTCTGTCAGTGTCAGGAGCAACTCCCTTGGGTCCCCTCCCATTGTGGGAGCTTTTCTGTCCTCTTAATAAATCCTACTTAAAAAAAAAAGAAACCGGGCTCGGCAGCTCAGCCTGTGATCCTGCGCCTTTGGGAGGCTGAGGTGAGTGGATTGCCTGAGCCCACGGGTTCGAGATCCGCCTGGGCGGCGAGACCTCATCTCTACAAAAAATCAGCCGCTGAGGCGGAAGGATCGCCGGAGCCCAGCAGGTCGAGGCTGCGGTAGCCGGGAGCGGCCACTGCACTCCGGTGTGGGCGACAGAGTGAGAACAACTCAAAAACAAACAAACAAACAAACAAACAAACAAAACAAAGAGTCTGGAAGACAGTGGAGGGCTCTGGGTCATTGGCTGGAGATGTGGGTGGGCACATGTACACCTATCACCTCTACAGCCATTTTAAGAGACCCCATGGCAAGTGATTTTCCTCCTTTTATTAACTGACAGGGTCTCTTTAAGAAGTTATTAGATTAGGGCAACCCCCTGGGGTCCCCTCCCACTGTGGGAGCTTTGCTGTCCTCTGAATAAATCCTGCTTTCTCACTTAAAAATAAAAAGAAGTAACTAGATTAGCATAGCAGTGAACATGGCAGGGCGGGAGTGAGAACAGGGGTTCGAAGAGTAAACCTTTTCCAGGTTTGCCTTGGTGTCTCTATCCCCTGGCAGGCCTTCAGGAGTCCCGTGCCCTTGTCTTTGATGGGGTACCAGGGACTGCATTCTTACTGCTTTTTCCCCCTGGGGGAAAAGAGTACATTTCACACCCCCAGCTGGAGAATTTTAACCCACTGTCAGGAAAAAGGAACCGGCAAGCCAGTTCTTACTAAAGTGTGATTGACTGATACCCACTGGCCGCAGGTCTCCAGTGGTGGAATGTCAGACATCTGGAAAGAGCAGAGAGGAAGGTCTCTTTTTTTTGCAGAAGGGGTTTAGAAGTGGAGTGATAGCTGGTTTGTGGTATGTCCTGGATATGAGATGAATCAGAGGAACTGGAACTCCATCAAAGAGTCTTCCCAGCTGGGCTTCAGAACTCCAGGACCCCAGGGAACAGCGGCTGAGTCTGGGGTCCTGGCGGAAGCCCCACCCCACTGAGACCTGTGGCCCTTGTTTTCTCAGGCCACCATGTGAAAGTCTTCTGCACCAAGACCTCCAACACCGAGTGTGGCCTGTGTGAAAAGAGCACGTACACACAGCTCTGGAATTGGGTCCCCAAATGCCTGAGCTGTGGCGCCCCCTGCAGCCCTGGTGAGTAGCGCGGAAGAGGGGGGGTCCCCAGCAGCCTCCCCAGCCAATACATTCCAGCCCTTGGCATGAGCTGCCTGGGCTGACCCTAGGAGGGCTGTTTCGTGCCCTGGGACATGGCGTGGGGCCTTGTCCACCATATACCGATGGCGTTTCCCTGCTCTGTCCCACCAGACCCTCTTCACAGCCCCGTGGGGTGGTTGGTGGGGGCACTGTGCCCATTTTAGAGCTGAGGAAGTGGTGCGTGGAGAAGTGGGACTGTGGGCTGTTGGTCTGCTTGTCCCTCGCTGAGGGAGCCACCAGCCCCCTGGAGGTCAGAGCTCTCTGTGGGGGCTGGGCTGGCTGGGAGGGCAGCATGGGTGTGGCGGAGGCGGGAGTGACCCTGGGCCGTCTTCTCACTCCGCCAGACCAGATGGAAGCTCAAGCCTGCACCCAGGAACAGGACCGCATCTGCACCTGCAAGCCCGGCCATTTCTGCCTGCTGAGCAAGCAGGAGGGCTGCCGGCTGTGCTCCCCGCTGCGCAAGTGCCGCCCCGGCTTCGGAGTAGCCAGACCAGGTAGCGGGCTAGGGTCCGCAGTCCTTGGGGACATCCCTGCCATGTCACAGGCATCCGCCCAGCTTGAGAACACCGTCAGTGGTGGCCAGGTGCTTGCTACCCAGCCATCTGTCCACTGGTCCGCCATTCATTCTTTCTGCCAGCACTCCTGATTAGGCACCTACTGTGTACTAGGCTCAGCGGATCTACAGATGGGCCAGACTAAGCCCTAAGCTACGGAAAAACCAGGTGATGCTGCAGGAAGATGAGCCCGCATGACCCTGGAGACCAGTTGTGTGTGCGTGGGTGTGCATGGGTGTGTGCGTGTGGGTGTGAGTGTGTGTGCATGTTCATATGTGTTTTCAGGGGCAGTGATGCAGGCAGAGTCCTTGGGCCCCTCACACCTCCCCCAGGGCTCCAGGGGCCCACCTGGCCCACAGAATGCTAGAGGTGTTGACAGGTGCCACTGTTTTTCCTGGAAGGAACGGCAACGTCGGACGTGGTGTGCACCTCCTGCCCTCCGGGGACGTTCTCCAACACGACTTCATCCACAGATACTTGCAGGCCCCACCAGATGTGAGTGGCTGAGTCCTTTGTTTCTGGAGGAACCGGGAGGGGCTGTCGCTGGGTGACCGTGGAACACAGAGCCACTGAGCAGCCACCATTGTCCAGATTGGTTTATCTGAGGGTGGATCCCAGGATGGATGGCACAGTGGGAGACAGCCCTGTCCTGGAAGCCAGGGCTGGGTGGGTGTCAGGGGAAAGGCCAGATGGCGACAGGAGGGTGTCCAGAGAGAGCACATGGCACCCATTCCAGCTGCTGGTACCTTCCCACTGGCCTGGCTTCCGTGAGGGAGCCTGGCCACCCCAGCCACCCTGTCCCCTGCTGCCTCCTGACCAAGCCTCTTCTCCCCCAGCTGTAATGTGGTGGCCATCCCTGGCAATGCGAGCATGGATGCTGTCTGCACATCTGTGTCCTCCACCCAGGGAGTGGCCTCGGGGCCAGCCCACCTACCCCAGCCAGTGTCCACGCAATCCCAACACACAGAGCCAACTCCAGGGTCCAGTGCAGCTCCACCCACCTCCCTCCCACTCCCAATGGGTCCCAGCCCCCCTGCTGAAGGGATCACAACAGACGTCTCCCTTCCAGTTGGTGAGTTATAAGAGAGCTCACTCACGCATTCATTCTTTCTTTTTTTTCTTCCCTCCCTTCCTCCCTCTTTTTATTTCCTCCCTCTTTCCTTCCTTCTCATAGTCTTACTGAGAGCCGCCGTGGGTTGGACCCTGGGCTGTGTCCTGGGATCCAGGTGGCAATGGTCTCTCCCTATGACCTGATACTGTCACTAAGGTCCCTGGGTAGGGAGAGATTGGGGCGGCCTCCCACCTGGACAGGAGATGGCCTCCTTGTTGCCGTTTCTGATGAGTCCGTTGGGCTGGCCAGGTCACTACACGGGACTCCCTTCTGGGGTGAGGACTGCAGCAGACCAGAAGTCTTAAACTGGCACCCTCGGGCCAAATGTGGCCCACAGACACGTTTGGTGTGTAACTGAATTTGAGAACTCCGACTTGGACTTGCCTGTCACAACCCCAGCCTCCTGTGTCACAGACTTTACCTGCCTGCCCCCTGGTGCATTTGAGTTTGTGTGTTGTAGCTGTTTGCCCTTTTCTCTCTAGAACTGATTGTGGGTGTGACAGCCTTGGGTCTGCTGGTGATAGGACTGGTGAACTGTGTCATCATGACCTGGAAGAAAAGTAAGATTCCATCCTTCCTGCTTTCATTCGCTGGCTCAGGAAGCTTTTCTGGGGCATGTCCTGTGGGTCCAGTGCTGGGCACAGCCTGGCACTCAGACAGAACTGGGCCAGGCAGTCCCTGTCCTGTGGGAGCTTCAAGCCCAGGGCAGGCGGCGCCTCTGCTGGCTTAGCTGCTAAAAGGCAAGAGGCGATCGGGGTCATCCAAGGGGAGCGAGTCGGGATTCCCACCCAGGAAGCCTGGGAGCCTCGGGCCTCCTGCAACAGGTGGCCCCGGAGTGGGTGAGGTCTTGATGGGTGGACGGATAGGCACCACCGGTGGAGGCATGGCATGGGACAGGGAGTGGCTAGGGAAGTGGGGGCAGAGGTGTTGGGGCCCTCTGTGGCTCTTGCCTGTTAGGTAGCTGCTTTCCCCAGGGCTGGGCCTCCTCCAGCGCCCTCCCGGGTAGAACAGATGTGCCCGAGGAAATCCCCTCCCTGACCTATCCCCTCTCCTCTTTGTAGAGAAGACTCCCTGCCTGCAGAGAGAAGCCAAAGTGGTGAGTGTCCCCATCCTTTCCCTCCTCCTCCCCTGGTCTCCTTCCCAGCTGGGCCAGGTTGTTGCGGGAAGCAGTGAGTTCTGTAGGTTGGCTGTCCAATGTCGGGAGATGTGCAGATCCCTGGGAGGTGGAGGAAAGGCCTGGGGGTCTGGCAGACCTCGTGGGCTTAGGAGGCTGTGAGTGTGACAGGCCTGGCAGGGAGCAGGGGATTAAATGGGGCTTATGGCAGGAGCAGGGGATTAAGTGGGGCTTATGGCAGGCACGTGGCTGTGGACCCACAGTGGAACCTTGGGTGGACATGAGATTGCTCCTGGCTGTTTCCTCACCATTAAATTGCGGGGAGGAGGCTGGGCACGGAGGCTCACACCTATAATCCCAGCACTTTGCGAGGCTGAGGTGAGAGGCTTGCCTGAGCCCATGGGTTCGAGACCAGCCTGGGCAACTTGGCGAGACCTCATCTCTGCAGTAAATCAAAAAACTTAGCCAGGCATGGTAGCACGTGCCTGTAGTTCTGACTACTTGGAAGGCTAAGGTGGAATGATCACCTGAGCCCAGAAGGTTGAGGCTGTGGTGGCTGTGAGCATGCCACTGCACTCCAGTCTGGGCGACAGAGGGAGATT